CCTGCTGAAAACTTAGCAATAGGTCCAGATCAGACAAAATTTCTGGCTATCATGCTAAGCTGAGGTTCTCACCACCATTACCACTACTTTCACGCCAAGTTGAATAAAGAGGCATTTCAGATATCTTTACCAACAGATTTTGAATAAATGAAAATGATAAACTCGCCCTTCCCTCCCCAAACTCTCAGGTGATCTCACCAGCGTGTTACTGTGAGAACAAAGCCTGTCTTGGAGAGACTATCAGAGCTAAAAGCACCTTCAGCCTTCAACTTACCTGCAAGGCAAAATTCTGACAACATCGTTGGGCTTGTAGCCTTCAATACAAACAGCACAGTTATCAAAGTCTGGCTCGGTTTCCTACAGGGAAGAGAACATTCATCATTTTCATTTTTTGATTTTGTCAGGTAATCTCTTCACACAAGAGCCTATGTGACAAGGTAAAACGGTCACTGATGCATGCTGCAAACCCAATAATGCATTTCAAGACAAGCAAGTCAGATTTTCCAACATGACTCCAGTTGGAAACTTGCCCTGGGAAGCACGCAGACTTAGTTAGCGTGCTCTAACTTTCAGGATTTTCTGCATCTTCACAGAATCACCTTCTCTCTCTGCTCCATTCCATCTGTAAATTGCTTACCAGTATTCCTCCCTCCCCCGTGCGCCTGAAGGACACACAGCAGCTAAATAAGCAATTGCCTCCATGTTACAGTGGTCTGAAGGGATCCTCAGCACAGAGTTTCACTTGGTAATGAGCAATTTGAAAAATTACCTTATCCCCTTTCCTGATTGTTCTGACTTGCAGCTTGCTGATTGCTTTCTTTGCAGCATCTCCAAGCCGGCGCTGTAATACAAAATTCGCTCTTTAGCAAAGAGTATCTTTTCATGCGGAAAGCATCACCTTTTCTCCCTAGGCTTCTTAATAAGCTGAAGTGACTGTACGTGAAACAGGACAGTGCTGCATAAACATAAACAGATGAGGTCAGTCATGCTGTTATTCACAATAAGGGCACAGTAGGTATTCGAGGCTGGCTGGTAACCCATGGCCCACGAGGCAAAGCTACTCCAATGCAGTTCCAGCGGAGACCGCACGTGAGCCCGTCACGATGCTACACTACAGCACCTTTACTATTCCAGTGAGTAGCAATGTATGTAACAAGCCCACTATTTAGGTATCCTACTTCTTCCCTCTCTTTTTTATAATGACACTTGTAAAAAATACATTATCAAATGAGGCCTGGGCTAGTAAGCAGAGCAAACACTGGACTTGAGATTCAGGTCTTTATTCTTACGTTGTTCCAGGACTAGTTCATGGTCTTCAGCAAGATGTTAAGCGCTGAAAGTGAGCTGTTAATTTGTTAACCACAAAAACCATGAATAATCTTCTCTGCTGTTCTCTTTCCTGCAACGCAGAGTTGCGTACTTATAGGAGCAATGCAAAGTATAAAAATGAGGCAAAAGCATCTGCAGTTTCTTACAGGTAAGGCACTATATACCCCTGCAGTAATATCCTATCCATACATAACAATTTGCTTGTTCTTTGCCTTTCTATCTTCCCCTCCAGTGGACCATGAATTGCTTACCACGTGATATTTCTGACCGCTCTCCCATATTTCCAAAACACTGTTAACGGTGCTGGCGGGGTCACAGCCGCTCAGGATTAAAGTATGTAATAACAGCCTGACGCAAAACGCCCTGTTCTCAGACGTTGAAGATGGAGACGCCTGCCTCTTGCAAGAGGCTGAGAAGACGATGGGGCAGTTCACACAAGCCCTGCTCAGCAGAGCCACCTCTGCACCCTGTGCTACCGAGCCTGTGCCTGCATCGGTTCTCCAAGGACTTGGCTGCTCCCTTGGTGCTAAACCCAGCAACCAGGTGATCTGGAGACAGACTCACAGGCTGGAAAGGTCTTTGAGAGGTCATGTACTCCCACCCCCTTGCTCAAGGCTGGGTCAACTTCAAAGTCAGAGCTGTGTCCAGTCAAGTTTCGAATATCTCCAGGAAGGGAGATTTCACAACCTCCGTGGGTAATTTGTTCCAGCGCTTAACCACTCTCCCAGTTGTTTTTTCTTTCTTTTTTTTTTTTTTTTTAAACATACAAATGGAATTTCCCTTCTGTAATTTGTGACCATTACCCTTGTCCTTTCTCTGTGCGCCTCGGAGAAGCATCTGGCTCTGCCTCCTCTCCAACCACCCGTCACACAGCTGAAGGCTGCGAGCAGAGCCCTTCCTCCTCCTCTGCTCCCTCCCTGGCTTCGCCAGCCAAGCTCCCTCTGCCTCCAATGTTGTGTGCTCCTGTCCCCAGACCACACTGGTGACCCTCCTCTGGGCTCTCTCCAGTTTTTTCATGCCTTTCTCGTGCAGTTTCACGCAGCAACACCTACTCCGATGTCTCCGGTCAGTTTTATAACAATTCACGATACAGCGCATCCCAATTTGCCACCAATAAATGACTTAAACTCTTATCTTCACCACCTTTCCCTCTCTCCATGTTTCCAGCCATGTGTTGTTAGATAGGAAGGAGACTTAGGAGCTTCAGTGATTCAGAAGACATTCAACTTCTCGGGCTGGGAACACCGCCTGTGCCGGAGTTCAGAGGGGCCTGTCAGCGGGAAGGGTTTCCAGCTGGAGGGGGTGAGAGCATGAAGCCAAAAATGGAAGGAAGCTGGATGTAGTTTGTAAATTGAGACCTAATCACCATACAGATACGATTAATAAATTACCACTTTGTTCTTCAGATTCAATTAAAATCACTGAATTGAATTTAGAGAGTAAGCTTATTGGATTGGAAAGACATGGAAGACTGACAAAATGCATGCGATGCTGAAAGCAGAGAGCAATTTCAGATCTGGCTAAGGAGGTGAAAATGAATTTGGCTATCATATGAGAGTTACATATGAGCTTTCCAGCCTAACTAATTATTACATGTGAGGGAGTATCTTGTAGTTATACAATGTCTTTTCTGTGGTACATTTTTCTCACAGTTTCCCTTAAACAAAGGGATCAGATGACAGTTGGAAACATTTCTTGCCAGCTATTTGTTTCTTTAATGTAAATCAAAGACAGACTGATAACATACAGAAAGACAAGAGGCATTATGTCCTGCTTCAGGAATTGCTTGTGATTCCTTTTTATCATTATTATTACTTAAACTAATGAAATGTCTCAGTTCTTTTTTGCATGTTCTTCAAGGGGAAAGGACAAGATTAAAGACTGAAGCACATCTTTGATCTGCTTGTTTTCATGTTTGCTTTCTCTTATCTATCTTAAAGAGACAAATTCATGACTTACATGCAAATGAGAATAAATCAGTTTTTGAAAGACCAGGAATACCTTGGAGTAAAGTCATACTTTCAGAGGATTCTTCCATTTGAATGAAAGGCATGCTATCACTAACCAATGATTTCCCCTAAATATAAGAGGCATTACAATAGTTTAAGGGTTTAAAGTGAGGCTTAGAGATTTACAGTCATAAATCTCATAATCTCATTAGCAAGGCTGCAACATTCAGTACTGGACTGGAAGGAGTTAAGCATATCAGATGCAGTGGTCTTGTAGAGATGGTGATACTACTAAAAAGAAAGGACAGTAGCATGGAAAGCATCACTTGTCTGTTCCTGAGGAGTAAATGACTATAGATGCTGTGGAACAGAAATTATGGCAAGTGCTTCTCTCTTAATGGCCTTACAAAACCACCACCTTTGCAGGGAGGAGACTGCCTTGTGCCTTGCACAGAATGAAGCGCACCATCAGGACGAAACATCAGGCACATCTCCTGTACCACAGATAAAGTTTATGGACTCCATCATGGGAACCCTCTTCCCAAGACTGCTTCAAAGGTTGACGTCTCTATTCAATAGCCCAAAACTCTCATTCAAAGCCACAGCCAGCAGTCTTCCTCCTCAGATAATTTCTTGACATGCTGACAGTCACATACTAAAAAAGATGGATCCTTCACTGGAGATTAACCCAGGACACACAGGACCCTCCTCAGCCGCAGCGTGACCACTGCCTGCTCCGGCTTTCACTATCCTGCAAAACTCACAGAGCTCACCTGGTTTCAAGAGGACTTTACAGAAAACTTCTTAACAAGAAACCAACGGGAACAAATGACGTGGAAGAAATATGGTCAACATGTCTGGCACTTAGCACATCACCCCCTCACCATTTTCTCATCTCACAGACGACAAAAAGAGAACGCTACTATTACTGGTGAAACATGAAATCTGACACACTCACAGGGTTGGTTTTGGCTGTTTTTTTAAGCCTGTGTCCTGGCTGTTACAGGGCTAAGACAGCAAGTCCCATTTTGCTGAATTATCTCCAGGACTTAACTTCTCACGTAATTCCAAACTGCTTTCAATTAGCTCTGCATCTGGATACCTCTTGATGCAAACAATTCCCACAGTCTTTCACACAAAAACTCTCTCATCTTCAGCAGGGCTTCAGGAACAAGCTGCTGAGGGAGCAGATTCCCTATGTTCTCCTTACACAAATCTATCCTCTTCATATCAAAAAGGTGTATCATCAGGGCAACCACCTACTTCCTGGACTTCTTGTTAGGCAGGGGAAAAAAAAGAGGAGACCTTGGATTTTTATCCATGTGAACATTACTACCTATCTTCTACTTCCACATGTACCATACAGTCATCTGTGCTACAGATACTCTTAAAAATTAAATGTATTAAAATCAAAATTGAAATCTAACCATATGGGTAGCTGACACCCTAGCTGTAGGTGCACAAGCCTATAATGGAATACAGTTTTGTGTTCCACTGCATTAAACTTCCAGCCACGTTGGGATAAACGGGCCAGGGCATTCAGCGAGAATCCTTAAAGTCCTGATCCTCTGCTCATCAAAATCAGGCACGTAACTGGAGTGAGCAGTGTCTTCCTTCTGGCATGTGAACCTGGATTTGCACACATTTTGAGGAAGAGCG